GAGTCCGATGCGCATAATTTAAACCATTACGAAGAAAACGCAAAACATTTCAGAGTCATTTTAAGCAGCAATACTTTGTACATGCATGCTTGCGTGTCCGTTCATTCGTGTGTGTTTCCGTGTCCGTCCACACATTTGACGTACTGCCCATAGACATTATTATAGAAAGCATGGTCCGCTTTCATTCCATTGCTTTGACACGTCAACGCAGCCGCCATCTATTATAATGTCTATGGTACTGCAGTCTCTGTTCAGGGTTTGTTTACATGCATTTATGAATGCATCACTAGCAATCTTTCAAATGTCCACTGATTTCCTGAAATAGGCTTTGCATTTGGGGATAACCATAGCACAGATCTTTGATAATGAGCTGAACTCTCCTTCCTCTAATGCAGTGTTGGATTAACACAATATGGAGCTCATTCCTCGTTCTGTTTTTGCTTTGGAGAAGAGAGAGGAGAAAGTATCGCTGCCTAAAATGACTCTGAAATGTTTTACATTTTTTCGTAATGGATTAAATCATGCGCATGGGACTCAGTGTGCAAGGTTTGTTTACATGATGAAGTTTCCGCATATGAATACAAAAAAACGCATATGCAAATTTCAGATATAAACGTCTGCAACGAAGAAAAAAAAGTTTAAAAATGTAAACACACTTAAAAAAAAAAAGTCATGTAAATTAAATGAAAAATTAACCCAACATTGGGTTTGTCCATATCTGATCCAGCATTAGATAATGACTACCCAGCTTTTATTAGAGCGTAAGAGAAAAACGATTTAAAACTGTAGTTTTAAGTTGCGTAGGCTGTGTAAAATAAAAATAAAATGGTTTAATCTGATCACTCTTTAATTGTCATAATTTTTGTATAATTATTTATTTTTTATTAAAATTATAAAAATAAATATTTTCCCAATTGATAGCTGTATTTTCATTTAATTTCATTTGTTTCATTTTATTAAATTTTTTAATATATTCTATTTTATCTTTATTTATTTTTATTTGTAATTGTAATTTTTTTCATTTAAAATGAATTATTTTAATTTAATTGTAATAACTGTTTTCTTTTATAAATGAAGGGCAGGCAGGTGAAGTTGTTTGAAGACAGAAGGAATGTGATGTATTGTTGTGAGGTGTGTTGCAGGAAAAGGCGTGACACAAGAGATGGACACACTTTTAGTTCAGAGATGTTAATTAAATAAAGCAAAAGAAAACAGCAACTGAGGCTTGGCAGGAAGCGGAACTCAGAGAAACATCTAAAAAATAAACGACACAGACTGACACAAAGAGCCTTACGTACACTGACAACAGGAGGCCGTGAAGACAGACGTGGATCAGTTCAACAATAGAAGTGAACAAAGCAAAAATACCACAAAACGTGACGCGCAACATGTGAAAGATTTACATTCATTTTAGTTCAGGAAAAAGTCTTGCCTGAAAGATTCAATTCCACACAGTGATTCTTTTCTTTTATTTTAGTTTTTTGTTTTTCCTTTTTCCTTTCCTATTTTTTTTTCATTTCTTTTTTTTTTCAGTTTTTTCTCCTTTTTCCTGCACCCATTTTCGAATTTTCTTTTTCCTTTTGTTTTTAATTTTTCTCTTTTCTGTTTATATCCCCTTTTCTTCTTCTATTTCTTTTCTTCTTCAGTTTTTTTCATTTATTTTTTTTCTTTTTCTTGTCTTTTTACCTTTTATCTTTTCCTTTTTATTTAAATTCCTTTTCGTTTTGTTTTGTTTTTTCTTTTCCTTTTCCCTATTTTCTATTTCTTTTTCATTATTTTTCTTTCCTTTTTTATAAAAAAATTTCCTTCCTTTTTATTTAGTTTTCTATTCTTTTGCTTTTTGCTTTTTTCCTTTTTCCATTTCTTTATAATTTTTTTCTTTTTCTTTTTCTTGTCTTTGTTTACTTTATTCTTTTCTTGTTTTCATTTTTATGTTTTCTTTTTTTGTCTTTTTTTACCCTTTTTTTCTTTTATTTTCTTTTTTCTTTTCATTTTCATGTTTTCTTTTTAGTTTTTTTTGTCTTTTTTTACCATTTCCCCTTTCTTTTTTCTTTTCTTTTTTTTCTTGTCTTGTGTTTTTTCTTTTCATTTTCATGTTTTCTTTTTTTTTTGGTCTTTTTTTATCCTTTTGCCCATCTTTTTTCTTTTATTTAATGTTTTCTCGTCTTGCTTTTCTTTTTTCTTGTTCTTATTTTATGCTCTTTCTCTTTTTGTTTTTCTTTTCTTTTTTTATTGTCTTTTTCCCCTGTTCCCCTTTTCATTTAGCTTTTTGTTTTGCTTTTTCTTCTCTTTAAATTATGTTTTACCTTTTCTTTTGCGTTTTTTTTTTCATTTTGTTTTATTTTTCCTTTTATTAATTTTTTATGCCTATTCCTTTCATTTCTCTTTCTTCTTCCATTTCCCTTTTCATTTCTTTTCTTTCTTTTTTCTACTTTTTCTTTTTATTATATTTTCCATATTTCATTAAATTATTAGTAAGTAATTTGCACTGTACAGCACTGTACAGCATTAGTGATCCCTACAGGGATGTCGAACTCAGTTCCTGTAGGGGCCGCAGCCCTGCACAGTTTAGTTCAACCCAACCCCAACATACTTATCTGTAGGTTTCAAACAAGCCTAAAGCACTCAATTAGTTTGATTAGGTGTGTTTAATTACGGTTGGAACTAAACTGTGCAGAGCTGAGGCCTTCCAGGAATTGAGTTTGACACCTGTGCTTTACAAAGACACACCGTCTAGCCCAGGGGTGCCCAAACTCAGTCCTGCAGGGCTGTTGTCCTGCAAAGTTTAGGTCCAACACAAATCAGACTGGGCAAGCTAAACAAGCTCTTAAGCTGCGTTTACACTGCACTTTTATCCCCATAGACTTCTATTAATACCGTTGTGAATGCGTCAGGCCAGAAACACAAGGTCGTGCGGCAAGTTTCGCAGTTCACCGTGTTGGAAAGTTGAAGCTTGGTGAACTTTGACCTGCGAAATCGCATCACGTGAGACCAATCGAGAATCAAAACATGACCTCTCTGCACAGAAATTTAAAACAAGGACCAAGCACTCGCTTTTTGTAATGTCTAATCATCTTGTTTAATCCCGCCCCTTTACAAGGTGCTGTACAACAAAATTTTACATGCACAAACTCTAGTGTGACTGCGGCATTACTAGGCTTTCCAGAAACATCCTTGCAGGTGTGTTGAGGCAAGTTGGAGTTAAAATCTGCAGGACATCGGCCCTCCAGGACCGAGTTTGGCCACCCCTGCTCTAGACAGCAGTGCTCATGCATATGCTAATGAGAGCTCATGAATATGCTAATCTAAGTGTGTGACCTCATCATCATCACAGGTGTGTGTTTCAATCCTGAGGGCTGACTGTGGTGTTGTGAGCTCATCGTTTCTCTACATTACAGCTCTTACTTTCACACACACGTATCAGGTTAGGGAATTTCTGAAAATCAGTATCAGTCCCGTGACGTCACGCACCATTCAGCTTTACCTATTCTCAGTGCTGGTTTGTAAACTCTTGAGTTCAGTGCAACAAAAATGTTGACCTATATTTAGCATGTGTTAAAGTAACAGGCCGCTCGCTGCTGATAGAGGGATGTTTGGCTTTTGTCTCGGACGCTGATGCTATTTTTGGTCACTTGTGGTGGCATTTCTCCTCAGAGGATCTGTTTGGCCTGAAGCGCAGGTCATTTGATATCAGTGTTACGTAAACACTGCTCAGTGATACACATTCATGAGAATGAGGGAAGATGAATACTAGGTAATACTTGGTAAAACAAGTTCACACTGAGAGGTACCTAGTGTGTGATACTTATTATATTTAGTATTATTATAGTATGGGGTGGCAGAGTGTTTAGCACTGTCGCTTCACAGTAAGAAGGTCGCTGGTTTGAGTCCCGGCTGGGTCAGTTGTCATTTCTGTGTGGAGTTTGCATGTTCTCCCCGTGTTGGTGTGGGTTTCCTCTGTGTGCTTCGGTTTCCCCCACAGTCCAAACACATGCGCTATAGGTGAATTGAAAAAACTAAATTTGCAGTTGTGGGTATGGGTGTTTTCCAGTTCTAGATTGCAGCTGGAAGGGCATCCGAGACATATGCTGGATAAGTTAATGGTTCATTTCTCTGTGAATAAAGGGTCTTTGTTAAAGGAAAGTGAATGAATGAAGTTTTATTTTTAGTTGGATTTTTAATTGGATTTAGCATAAGTATATTTTTATATTTATAACGCTACTCTTGTGTGTTTTTGCATATTTCGTTTTTTAAATTGTATTTATTAATAATTATCTTAGATTTTTTATTAATTACTTTCTTATGTATTATTATGAATGTATTTTATTTTATTAATAATAATCTTTAAATTTTTTCACATTTATTTTTGTATTGTTTATTATTTGTTTTTAATTTTCTTTAATAAATGAATTATTTTTTTATCTAGTTTTATGAATGTATTTTATTTTATTAATAATTATCTTTGATTTTTAAATATTTGTGTGTTTAAAATGTTTGTTTAATTATTTTTAATTATTTTAAAATGTTTATTTATTTTATTTTTCATTTAATAATTTTTTTAATTTATTAATTATATTTGTATTTGTTTATTTAATTATATTTTAATTCAATTTTTATTTATTATTTGGTATGTGTGTATGTGTGAATTTTTGTCTATTTTATAATACTTCTATCTATCCAATCTTTTGGTTTTATAAAGACTGGAAAGCCAAATCTGTGCCCAACGTCAGTCATTAGTGTATCAGCAATAACTGAAATTTTACTATGCAGGAGTACATTCTTTGTTATTTTAAAGTACCATATACATATCACTGTATGAAGCTGTTTTTTTTTTTTTTTGTAATTCATTGTAAGGAAGTGAGTAGTCATTCATTCATTCTTATGAAAAAAAATTCCAAAACCTGTTTGTTAGCTTCTAAAACTATGACACACACACTTACGCACGCACATGTGCCAGTGTTTGTCGCCTGAAAGTCTTTGTTTGTTTGTGTTTCTGTCAGAGGGAACCTCACGCTGCCAAAGGTGCCGGAGTCCAACATGGCCCTCAGTGTGCTGGGTGTGTTTCTGGGTTTGCTTCTGGAAGTTTCCACGCACGGGCCGTCCAGCGTTCCCAGAAGCTCATGGAAGCAGAACGGTGAGTCAGGGGTTAAACATCCAGGGATTAAATATCTGCCGGGTGAAAGTGTGTGCTGTTTTTACTTATATTATTTATTTATTTATTTATTTATTTATTTATTTATATTTATTTACTTATTTATTTATTTGCTTATTTATTTTGTTTGTTTATTTATTAATTTATATATTTTTAATTAGTTTATTCATTTATTTAGTTATTATTTTTATTTATTTACTCATTTATTTTGTCTATTTATTTTTCCATTTATTTATTTATTTATTTATTTGTGTCTGTTTATTTTTTTCGTCTATTAATTAATTAATTAATTATTTATTTATTTAGCTATTTCTGTATTTATATTCAAATAATTTTTTATAAAACAATATAACTTTAGCTGATAATATTGACCTTAAAATGTTTGTTAAAAATTAAAAACTGCTTTTATTCTAGCCGAAATAAAATAAATAAGACTTTCTCCAGAAAAAAAATATTAATTATAGTAAATACTGCGAGAAAATTTTTAATTTGTTAAATATCACTTGAAAAATATTAGAAAATGAATAAATATTGCATAGAAAGGTGAATAATTGTGATCTCAACTATAAATATTAATATGTATATACATAGTAGATATACACCACACACAAACACACATATATTATGTACATACAAACATTATTTTGGATGTGATTAATCAAAATTAATCATTTCCCAGCACTAATTTATGTACATGTGAATGTGTACATTTGATTAGAGCTGTAAAGGTAAAGATTTCTGTTTGGCAAATTAAAATTGAACACCACAGATGTACAGTAATGCTGGTTCTGAAATCCTTGGCTTTTCAGATGGTCCACCAGAACATTTCATAACACATCCTTTAATAATCTACATTGCTAGAGTATTATTTACGCATGTACATCTCTAATTATGAATCCCTAGAATATTCCCTCCTCTGCTCCCATAAGCTCAGTTTTATTTATTTATTTATTTATTTATTTATTTATTTATTTATTATTTATATTTATTTTTTAAAAACTATAGTTATTTACTTTGTTTTTATTTCTTTATATATTAAAATTTATATATTTATTTATTTATTTTGTTTGTCATTTATATATATATATATATATATATATATATATATATATATATATATACACACACACACATACATCTATTTATTTGTTTGTTTATAAATAAATAAATAAATATAAATTATGTATATATATATATATTTATTACACTTTTATATTTATTAAATATATATATATATATATATATATATATATATATA